TAACAATGTACTTTTGATTAATTGGTCTCACTAGCAATTGAATCATTGCCGCTTACCAAAGTGAAAAAAACTAGGAAATAAAGAACTTTATCTACCTATTTAACCGTTAATTTTCAATATCATTTATTCACTAACTTGCTATATTTATTCATTTATTCCATTAGTACAGCTATTGACACAACTGACAACATTTATTTATCGTTACGTAACTTTCTCAGGCAGTCATTTGAACCCTGGACTACTCTATAATCCAAATGAATGGATTTTTCAAAGTTTCATAGTAAAATTACGTCCTTGTTGAAAAACTCATTCCAGTCTTTTTCAGAACTATTTTTGGATTTTATGCATGCGAATTTTGCATTACTTCCCTAAGCCTCAAAATCTGCACACATATGGTCGATCAGAGCGGAACTCGCTAGCAGATTATGCCAAAAATCCCATTAATCGCATGCTTTAGCAGCGTTCCGAGCAATTCAATCTTTACTCCATCAATCAAGCAGATCTACGAAATATAAAGCAGCTTTAAACTCACTCATCACATCCGGAAGTGTTTCATTGTTCTTCACGGTATGTATATTGGTGCTTGCGATTGACCTTACACTAGGCACGCTAGTACCATACTCGTTTCTCGACGTCACATAGACGATATAGCGAGTTGATGAACGCAAATCACTGATCGTCTGACATGTACCGGTTGTATTAATCTGAAAAGGAAATGGTTTTTCATTTATGAACTCCTCAGTCATTATTCATTTGCCCTTCTCCCCATGAAAAAAGGAGGAAAGCGTTGTACGAACGCATCTGCGCTAATGACTGGGAACATAACTAAGGGAATGCCTAACGGGGTGAGAATGAGAATGGGATACTTACTTGCTGGAAATTGAATTCGCGTATGGTGGTAGAGTTAGTGGCCTCGTCTCGAGTCATCACTACTACAGTGTCGCGCTTCTTGCGAATGCCAAAACTGAGTTGGGGCTAAAAATAGTTAGATCGGGCTTATAAAAAGCTGAATGTCCTCATTAGGTTAGTGAGATTTCCTAAGATTAAAAATAGAAAAAAAGCAAATTTTCGTAAGATATACTTTCATTATCTAAATAATACTTATAATTTATGTATCATACCGGTAATCCTGAATCTTGCTTAGGAGGTGGTTGCAGGTTTAGCACACTCTGAAAAAGTCATTTTGATTTTCAAATCTTCTTTTCTTTACATCCCTACCTTCTCTTCTCTTCTCGTTCTTTGTGTCGGCTTCTCAGTGGTAGTATCTGGGTCCACATAGTCAGTA